CCTCTTTAATCATTTCCTACTTTACTTGTTGTTGTCGATAACCATAACGAAATTTATAATCACTGGGTCTGGGTGGGTGTGTGGTTGTGGGTGGGTGTGGGTGTGTGGGTGTGGAGATTTGGTCCCAAATCCCAAATTTGTTAGAGATTTGCTGCACTCTATCTATAATAGGATCAATGAGACATGACCAATTCATTTCGGCTAATTGATTAACCTTTTAATAAATTCATATTTGTTTGTCTGATAGAAAAATGAATTGTATAGATGAAAACAATAATAAGAATATTGAAAGTCACATTGGATAAATAGAGACGGCGACGAAACAAAAATCTATTGACGATTGATAATGATAATATTTATATATATTTGTGAATAATAACTGATTATAGTTTTTGAATATATTCTCTCTTGATTGTTCTCACTTGTAAGTAGAACCTTATCAAATATTTGTTTATGTTCAATTATATTAACAATAATCGATTTCTTTACTTCTCGAACAACTTTATTATCATTGAATTAATTCAACGAATATATCTTCAATAAAATATTATATGAAAAACAACTGAATATGATAATTACATTAAAAAAAGAAAAAAATCCAATTGAATTATTTATATAATTGTTAACTATGTCTATTCATATTTGAATTAGTAGAATGAAAGAGATTGATCTAGTTATCTAATTAATTATTATTCAAATAAATAAAACAAAAATTATATAAAAATCAATTAAATAAACATATATTAGCAAATAAATGTTTTTAACTATTCATTCTAAAATCTAAAAGATGATCTTATTCTATAATAATCTATTATTTGATTATGTCGTATTTTTATCAACCACTATATCAGTATTGGATTTATTACATTATTTAAAAGACTTTCGAACTGATCCAATCCATATTTTACCTGAGAATTAGCGGCATCTGTATTATTAATTACGAATTTTTCTTGTTTAACATAGATTTTCTATGAAAAAAATTCAAAACGAATTGTTTTGAAGGAATGAGTTATAATTTTTATTCAATAGTAAACATCATGATCGAGACAGAAAGAAAAGAACACATACTTAACTAACGAGATTGAGGAAAAAAGTAAATAGCATGTGATTTTTAATAGTATGGAATAAGCCTGATGTGTTTTTTTTTATTAAAATTAGCATAAATTTCAATCAAAAACTAATATTATATCATTTTAGAATAAAAGTCAATCACCTGCTCGCGCGTGAAGCGCATGAGCATAACTTACTAATAAACAAATAATGTGATTATATTCTTAGAAAAAAAAAAGATCAATATGCTAAAGCCTAACAAGAATTTAATATAGTTGAAAATTTTCTAGAAACTGTTCATGAAGAGGTAAATCAAAAAACAAAAACAAAAAGTTTTTACAAAACTATCCAATTTATTTTAGTCATTTTCAACTATCATTCTTTTTCAATATTCTCAATGGCTGCTATACGTACATTTTTCAAACGTAATGTTGGTCAACGTTCATCAAATAACAATAATCCAAATAGTAGAACTACAACCGATTCATCAAGTGATACATCATCATCAACAACAACTGAACGTGTAAATAATCAAGCAAATGATGGTTGTAGTAGTACATCAACATTAGGTGTTTTAACAAATACTAATGGTGATCCACTACGACATCCTTTACTTAACATATCTACAACAAAACACCATCGACGATTTTTATTACGTCTAGTTCATAATTCAACAATAATGAATAAACAAGAAGAAGAATTGATTAATGAAAATACAGGTTTACTTGATATAATATTACCGAAAGAACTCATTTTAAGGTAAACACAATAAATTATTCGAAATAGTTATACAGAGTATATTAATGTCTGTATGAAATATATCAATATTGTCGTTCTTTTTCTCTATATATTCTATTTTAAATTGAATTGGTCACCGTACAAATCTACTATTAGTTTCGAGTTTAATACATATTCTTCACTGATCTCAATTTCAGTATATTTTTCTTTTACTGATATGAATTTTCTTCAATTTTTCTACTAGCTATAGTTCAGACATATGTTTTTCATTGGTTTGATTTTGATAAAAATACTTTTAAGTTCTGATTTCAGAACAGAGCACACATAAGTATGCACGCGAACCCATTAGCATGATAAAGATTTTTTAATTTTTTTCTTCCACAGAATTAATTATTTTAATTATCTGATGCGTTATAAGCATGGAAGAAAGTTTGCTTCTGATGAGAGAATGAAGAATTATCTAATGCATGATAAATAGAACGCAAAATTGGAAGAAGGATAAAAATAAATAATCACTATAATGAGTTTCATTTTTTGTAGTTGTCTCAGCACCTCATTGAATGATGACATCTGAATTTTCATATTCATATCTTGCAGTTGAATAATTATGTGAATTATTATTATCTAAGTGCAAATGGTCCAAGCTACTCATTGTATACCTAGATATACGTTAGCTTTTAGAGGGGAACTTCCTCTATCCATGCATGCCGTTCTGAAGGCAGAAATTAATATTAAATTTACAGTAGCTTTTTCTACTGATATATTATGTCTTATACATGTCTACCCATGATAGAACTATCGAGTCTAGTTGTAAGACAACATTCGATACATACTATATGTTTAATGCACTACTTTTTATTTCAAAACAAATAAAAATAGAAAACAGAATTTTTCTTTATTCTAGCATCTGAATCTAATTATCATTATAAATACTTAAGTAGAACTTTTGAAAACCATTGTCAACCTAACCTCGACAAGTTTTATTGGAAGTGCGAATTCGGATCAAAAAAAGAACTGAATTCGATTGACGACTCTATATTGTAGTTCTGATATCGATACATATTTTCTCCAAGTGAAATTCGATCAAAACTTGACACTAGTCCTATGACAATATGAGATATCTACTGATTTCACTCACAAAAGATATTCCATGCTGATGCCGATCCCAATAGATATGTTCAATTGTTCTTCAAACCCTAAAAGTTTTTTTTTTTTAAGATCTTCTTTAGATCTTAGAATGAAAACAAAATATATAATAAATTACATTGATTGTTTCTATAGCTGAATATATTTATATTGTTTTAGAATCTTTTCATTTTTGGATTATCAATCACTTTGTCGATGTGCACAAGTATCAAAAGTAAAAGCAATGACTCAACTTTTTGTTTTCTTAAACATGGCTTTGTTCTTTTTTTTTTGTTTTTTTAGTATTGGAATACACTTGCATTAGATGGTTCAAATTGGCAAAGTATTAATTTAAAAAATTTTCAACGTGACATTAATGTATGATAAAGGCTTTGATCGATTATTTAATTTGATTCTTTTCTTTTCCTTTTTTTTGCAAAGGGGATTGTCCTTGAAAATTTGAGTATACGATGTGGAAAATTTTTAAAAAGATTAAATATTGAAAATTGTAAATTTCTTACTGATCATAATATGGGGTAAAAATAATTGTTTGTTTATTTATTTATTTTTTAAATGTTCTATTTCTAATGATTAGTATTGTGACAAATCATTGTCAAAATCTGGAACGATTAATTATTAAACATTGTGACAAATTATCGAATACGTAAATTTAGAAGATTTTGAATTCTTTTCATTAAATAAAAGAAATTGCTTTTTTTTTATTTAGTACTTTATTTTATTTGAGTAAACATTGTCCTTATTTAAAACACATAAACATTTCATCGTGTCATCATATTGATGATCAAGGAATTAAAATGATTAGGTAGAATTTTTATTAAAGAAAATTTTTCTCTTAAACAATTTTGTCTTTAGTACAAGTTGTTCTTATTTGGAATCTTGGGATATATCATGGTGTATGCATATAACAGAGAATGGTATTCGAATTTTAGCTGAATCATGTCCAAAATTAACAACTTTTAAAGCTGAAGGATGTGCTTATGTAAGACAAAGTTAATAGAAAAAATAAGTTTTAAATAAGGTATGCTTAGATGACAAATAATGCAGCTATGCATCTTGGAAAAAATTGTCCCAAATTATTATTTCTTGATTTAAATCGATGTTCTGTAAGAAAAACAACAGAATTTTATTCTTTAAGAATTTAGTTTAATTTAATTTTAGTCGATAACAGATGATGGTCTTATTGCTTTAACTCAATATTGTCCATTACTTGAAACATTAATTATTGCTAATTGTACGAGTTTAACAGATAATACATTAATAGCACTTGGAAAATATTGTCATCAATTAAAGTAAAATTTGAAAATTTAAAAGAAAATTTGATTTTGCTATGCTTGTTGTTTTTTATTAGAAAACTTGATGCAACTTTATGTTCACAATTTAGTGATGCAGGATTTTTAGCAATGGCTCAAGTAAGTTTTATTTTTAGTATAATTTGCTTTTATTGTGATATTGTTATTTCTAGGGTTGTCATTTGTTACAAAGAATTGATCTGGAAGATTGTACAACTGTAAGTAAATACAGAATCTGACGATTTACGAAGTAAATTCTTTTTTCTTCGAGTTAAAAATAATTCGACAAGAAAAACAAGGAAAATTTTCTTTTATTGACCATAGTGTGACGATATTTAAGCCTCTGAATCAAACTTTGAATGCTTTTAATGTGAGAGAAAAATGAAAGTTTCTAGAATCGAGTTACATATTCAATTTGTTTTTCAAATTTTTCATTACTGAAAGTTGGTTTCTACAGTATAGGTACCATTTTGTTTCATTGAATGTACTATGCCTCTGAGTCAAAATCATTTTTTCAAAATTTTTAATCGAATATAATTGTTTATTGAAATGGTTCATCTTCTTTTCTAAAGGTCACTGATGAAACAATGAGACATTTGGCGGATAATTGTCCAAATATTGAAAATCTCGTATGTCAAAAATTTTTATTAATAAAATAACCTATAAAACATTTTTCTATAGACTCTTTCTCGATGTGAACAAATTACGGATGACGGTGTTCGTTATATTGCTTCGAGTGTTAGTGCTCAAGAAAATCTTCGAGTACTTGAATTAGACAATTGTCCATCAATAACAGATATATCTATTAATCATTTACTTGCTTGTCAAAATCTTCAACGTTTAGATATATTTGATTGTCAACAAATAACAAGAAATGCTGTTAAAAGAATTCAAGTATTCTATTTTGATATAATAGATAAATAAATATAACCAAATGATTTTTTAGATGCGTTATCCGGATTTAAAAATTCATGCTTATTTTGCTCCCCGAACACCAACGCCTACACTTCATCAGACAACATCATGTTCATTTTGTTGCTCTACATCATGTTCAGCTTGTGTACCTCCATGTTGTACAATCACTTAAATTTATATGTATATTTAATTATTTTTTTGTTGTCTTTATCTATTCTATCTATAAGGTTTCTTTTTTCTCTTCTACAAAACAAATTGTTAGCGCATTGACTCGGCAATTGTATTCTTTGCATATATTTCATTATATCAACACATACGTAAATTCATTCATTCAACAATCAGTTTTCTTTTTTTTTTTGTCTATTATTATTATTATTATTATTATTATTATTATTATTATTATTACTATAACCTATTACTATTCTATGGTGGTTTTTCTCGTCTTTTAATGTCAGTTTTCATGTACTTGTTGCACAAAATCAGTCATCTCTTATTTTCTGCTTTCAGTTTTGTTTGTTCTGATACGAGAAGCCAAAATAAATTAACTTATATTGACCTTCAGAAATGTTAGTAACAGAGAAAGCATTCTAATCGTATTTGAGTTACATATATCGTGCGAGTAAACAAAAATAATCATGAAATAATGAACATTATTTCTGACTCTGTCAATCATTAAATAAAGTCGAGAAAAATGAAATTGATCAATATTGACTTTCATTAAAAAGTAAAGACATGTATAGGCATACGACTGTTGTCACTCGACAAGTAGAAATATATGTCAAAAGAGATTTAGTATACACTATACTTCATAGACGCTATTTCTATTGTAATATTGATTATAAATGCGTCGATAATTATTAATTCAATAGAAGTTGCATTATATATTTAAAAAAACACCATGAGGAATCTATTTACAAACGAATGATGTGTTTTATGAAAAATCATACAATTATTCGAAGCCAATATTGAACACAAAATGGTACATTTCATGAATAATAATTAGATGTGCTCCAAAAAGATTGCATGTGTTACAAAAGAACTACATACCGTAAATATATACAGGATCGGCTTAAAGTAACACAACACATGATTTTTTTTTGACTTTTTCTTTTTACGTAGTCAGTTTAGTCTTATATTTATATCACATAATTATATTGTTACGACAGAGTAGTACTTCAACGGAGAAATACCTATAATTATATGAGAAACATAAGTATCTATAGCACCGTGTCAAGTAAAATTATCTTCGGTCGATGAAGATTTTAGCAATATAGTGAAATAGTACAAAGTCGATTCTGAGACCTGGGTATCAGATTGACATTATTCGTTTAAAAATAAGTTGGTCCTTTCTTATGACAAAAAAAAGGAGAGCTCTTATCTTACAAGGTGTCTTTTTTTGTTGTTTACCGGTGTCAGGCAAAGAATAACAAATATTATCATGATGCAGTTTTGCTTGTTAAGTCTTGCTTTTTCTCCATTTTCTACTTTGTAATTCATCACTTGAAAGGAGAGCTCTCACGGAGAACACAACGCGTAATTGATAGCCTTCTTTATTGTGAAAATGGCACAAATGATTCCAGAACCTCTTGCACAAAAGCCAGGCATCCAATTAATTAAAGCTGGATCACTTGAAATGGTACCACTTGGTGAAACTTACATGTGTCCTGGTCTCAATTCGAGCATAATTGATGTTCCCATCAGTAATCAAAGTAATCAACTGACAATGGGCCATTTTGAAATGCGTCCATCGCCGAATAATTTTCCTTTCTATTATGAATATTTGGAAGTTAAAACGATTGTTAGTGGAAAGATTATTGTCATGGATGAACAAAACAACCGTTATGAAGGCCATCCTGGCGATGTTTTTATTTTTACACCACCACATGTTGTTACGTTTTTGGCTGAATCAGATGGTCGTGCCGTTTATATTGGTCATAGAGGACCTGAACCATCATTTTTACCAGGCTATCAAGGTGGACCTATCCGAACACCAACCATTAACGACAAATAAAAATATTTTGCTACTGCCTTTCTCCGTGATTCTTTTCTTCGTTTTGTATGAAATTGATTAGAAGCAAATAAATACGCTAAACGCTTTCTGAATGTGATTCTTTTTGTGCGAACCCAAACAATAAAATACGTAATGAGTTTTGGTGAATTAATTTTTATTTCTAATCAGTGATATTGATTTTTTAAAGGCTGATATGGCGCATATGAATATAGTTTGCACTGACGAGGGAAGGTCCCCAAGTGTGAATCGCCGTTTCGAATGGGAGATATCCCAGGTTGTAGAGCTCGACGAGCTGAGTCTAGTGGCATAAAGCATTTTTCTCGACGCAGCTAATAACTAGAAAAACAGTTAAGATAATTATGAAAAATCATATAGGAAACATTGGGATTTTAACGATATTGCAGTCCAAGAGAGCTATATATAACTATTGATTTCGTCACTTTTGGCTATCAACTCTAGTAAAATAGATCAAGAAATGTATAATTATGCCTTATGTTACATATATTACTAATGACATCAATGAACACTTATATTATTTGCAAAGTATATCCCAAAGAATATCAATAATCTTATGAGAATAAAGCTGATGCATTCCGAACTTCTGGTCATGTTGACTTTGTAACAATATCATCACATAAGGTGCTCCTCAGTTACCACTACATTTTGTCTCAAGTTATTAGTGAGACAATATCGTATTAGAGCGTCTCTATGGATGTTTATTTACAACAATACATGTTTTTGCAGTTTTGTTGACATGTATGAAAAACGCACACTATACTTTTCTCTGTTCTTCGTATATGTTCAGGTCATCCAGGTGCATTTCCTCTTTTCTGTTCTATACTATTCTCTCTCTTCTTGGGATCTGACTCATGATCATCTAGAACTTTCTCGATGTCCGAGCTCAGGTATATATACCTCTCACTTTAGACAATTAATTCAGTTTATTTGTGATAACACGATCAAAGTAAATCAATTAAATCTACTTATGAGAAAGCATATTTGAGGCATTGAAGTTTAACATTATTTAGAGTGAGAAAGATCAAATTTGATCATTGAATATCTCACTTTTGCCTGTAGATTTTCACTTAATAGAATAGAAACTTCCTAAAGATGTCTTATTCTGTGTGTTAGAGCATTTCTCTCACTGTGTAGATATATTATTTGCATACTAAACCATGAAAAACATTCATAACTCTGAAAGAACACCAACCTATGTGTCTAGAGTTTGAGACTTGCCGACTCTTATAATTTGCGTCTAAGACTACTTATCAGTTTATTTATAAAACATATAGCATAGAATCATTGAAAGTGATAAACAATAAAGAAATGTTCGAAGCATAATGTTCGTCTACAAGGGCTACTAGAAATAAATGCACTCTTATCACAATTGCTCTCTGAACAGTTGTCCGGTTCGAAAGAAAAACAAACTTCTATAACATTCGAAAACCTTGGATATTGCTGTGGAATATAACCGCAACTTGACCATGCAAATGAAATGAGAGGTCGAAAAACAGCCGAACTGAGTTGATTGTGGACTAGGCTTTGTAGTTTGATGATAGCATCACGATTTCTCAAGTCAACATCCAGCTGATCTAAAGCTACACGATGATATATTCTTTTCGTTAATTCTTTCCATTGACGAAAAAAATAATCATCACATGATTGTTTAGTTGATGTCGTTTTTCCGGGTATCACCATTAATTTACATATTTGTCCTTTATTCAAATTATTTTCGTAAGCTGTGATATCGGTGTGTGGAGACCACTGATCCATCAATAGGAGAAATCGACTGGTTGTGACCTTGTTTAACACCTTTCGAATCCAATATTCAAATAAAGAAGTGTTTAATTTCCCAGATTTGCTACATGTAAGGACTACATTTGATACTAAAAAGGTAGATTTTGTAGCTGGAAAGCGACCTGTTGGCTCTTGGAGACAAAGGAGAACAGGATTGATAAGTCGACCTGCAGCACTGATGACTGGCATTACTGTGTAAGAATGGGTGATTGCATTGATAGATTTCATCGAAAGATAAGTCGTTTTTTCTCCGACATAAGATAAAGTACGATTCGAAGCTAGCTCGTAGTGAAAGCTCGATTGATCTGTATCTAAAACAAAATCAAGCGTGTATTTTGGTAATTGTTTGGTCACTTCTTGAACGAAGTCGTCGTCAGACTTTTTAATCAAAGCTTTGTCAGCAGCTTCACATTTGCATATAAATTTTGTTACTCTTCTTGAAGAAATACGGTTACGTCGTTTGAAATTAATCAACCAGTAATGACTAGCTGTGAAGTCATCCAAACCTTCAGCTTTTGCCTGAGACAAAGCCCATCTCTGAGCATCGACATCATGAACAGGTAAACTGTTAGCACGTGCATTATCAAATTTATCAAGCACAAAAATCTCGACGCGGTTCAATTTTTGCCGACGGTTTCCGTTATTTTCCACATACTCTCGAAATCGCTTCAGTTGCATACGATGTGTAACGCGTGGATATGCATGCTGTATGGTTGTAAAGACAATACCTGGACGGGCAAAATCAACCACTTTTTGCATGTATTCTAATGTAAAATCACGATGACCGACTTGCTCTTCTTCTCCACTCGTAATTTCGAGAGAGTAGTCTTGATCAAGATCAATATAGTCAGGATGCTCGAGAGAATCTACTGTTTCAATTGCATAACTATCACTGTTGGAAAGTTCGTCTAATAATGCAATTAAATGATTTGATATCAATATTTCCTTCTCGGTGATATCCGTTTGCTTGACATTTGATTGTGAAGTTGCCTTTTCTTATATAAGTTTACCGATATTAGCAATGTTCATTGGAAAGAGACACACGCAGAAGTATTAGAAAGTGTTAAATCCTAAATCTTTAAATATCACAAATTGGAAATTGATAAGAAAACAACAAATGAATTTTCGATCAGAATATTTGTTTTTTCTCAAATAATTCACGTAGGGGCAAGTGACTGGATGAAATAGGAACGAACAAATGAATGAGAACAAATGTAAGTGAAGTGTCTAAATATATATATATGTTGGGGACAAAATTGGAATTTGGTCAAATTCCGAATTTGCTCGGACAGAATTGGAATTCCAATTTCGACCGGACAAAAGTAGAATTCTAGTGTTGACCAGAGTTTCTTCGGACAAAATTGGAATTCCAATTTTGTCCGGACGAAATTAGAACTCTACTAGAAATATTGATCAAGTTGAAAACAGTTAGCATCTGGACAGAACAACTATTTTTTCATTTCACAATATCTTTTATTGAATCAAATAATGAACAGTTCATGGCACACTAATCTATTCACCCATATTTTTACAAGCTCCTAGTTTAGAATGACATTTTGTTGAACACGAAACTCCCGCTTTTTTACATGGACATTGTTTCGTAGCACATTTTCCTTTGCNTAGTGAAGACAAGGTCTATTTCAATATCTCGGCCTTTTTATCTTTAAACTCATATGTGGAAAAACTTTAATTCACATCTAGACATAATAGAAAAAATTCTATAATTAAAAATAAATATAATTGCTAGGGTAAATAATAAATGAAGAATCACCGCCACGATTGTTAATAAGTAAAGGCACTTAGCGTATTCAAGTTTGTTGTTTTTACTTTGTTTTTGTTAATCAAAATTTAAAATGCTCGTCTCTCCTTGTATTTATAAACATACCTAATATAACAGACATAAACAACTGAAATGATAACGTGGACTTTTCAACCAACACAGAATTAAGGGTTTGCTTACAATTTAGAACCCGAAGCACCTGATTGGTCACAGAATCAGCACGAAAGTGAAGTTGAAGGTGAGGAAATTAATGAAGAAGAGATATATTGGGATTCTAAGATGTCAAGGTACCAAATTAAAGAAAATACAAATAAAACGTTTATTTATGCTAGTTGCTAGTGGCGGCGGCGGCTCGAAAATTTTAAAATTTTCAATACCATCGGCGGCGTGGCGGCTGCAGTTAAAGTGGCTCAGCAGCAGCGGCTTAAAAATTTCTAAAATTTCTACTGTGACGGCGGCGGCGGCTCAGTCGCATGACTTACACTTCTAAGTACGTGATTTGGTGAAAAAAAGCATAGCTGGAATTGCCAATCAATGTCGAAATATTTTCCACTAATGCAATTTGGTGAGACTGATTTTTAAGAGCCCATTTTTATAATAAATAAAGAAAAAAACTAACATTGAACATTTATGCTATTAATTTCTTCTGATGAATTAAAACTTCGGAGTTATAGACAAAAATTATGAAATTGAATTGTGTGACATCTAATGTTGCATAGTTCTTCTACGCTCTCAAATGCGTGAGACTAATTTTATTGAAAAAATAAAAACACAATTTGAAAGAGAATTTATTTTAAAGTATTTCCATCGTATTTTTATCTTCTGATGCCTCATAAAAACCAGAAAGTGCATTTCGACATTGATTCGATGACTCATCTGGATGTGTACATAGACGAACAGATCAAATTGTTTTTGTTATATTTTCTCGTCAAAATTGTCCATAGACTATTTGTTGCGTATATAAAAGACTTTTTCTTTTCGTTATTCGTTCATTTCATATTTTCATCAGTAAAACTAAATTCAATTGTGTGAATATTATCATCGTTACTGCAAATGAATAGAAAAACACATTTAGAAGATTTATCAAATGAAATATTCTTTGAAATATTTGATTATTTACATATGCTTCATATATTTACTGGTTTTACTTTATTAAATAAACGAATATCGAATATATTACAATCAACTCCACTTCATATTGTTATTTCATTTGGAAATTCTCGTCAACAAATTGATTTTCTTTTGTCTCATTTAACTTCTCATGAAGATCAAGTTATTTCAATAAATATTTTAGATAGAATTCGTGATCATTCATCTATAATTCATTTATTATTGAATCGACATAATTTTATTAATTTAAAATCATGTAAATTCATATCAATTCAATCAATGACTAAACTTAATAATATCATTAAACAAATTGGAAATCTTAATAAACTTGTTATACTTGAATTAATTCAACCAGATCGTAAAGATTTAAATGAAAATAATAATGATGAATTAACTCGAATATTACTAACAAATAAATCGTCATCTCTTCGTTCATTTAAACTTCAATATCCTAATCATTATTTAAATATATCAAATTATGCATTCATCAATTCAAATCTTATATCACTTCATTTACGAATATCTGGTTCATCTTCAACTGTATCAATTCATACAGTTTTACCAATTTTTCGTCTTTGTTATAGAATACGATATTTAGGCATTGTATTACAACATGATAAACGATTTGAAAATAATATTAAGTAAGTTATTACTGCAATAGTTCTATTTGAGAAAAAAAAATTTTCTTTTATTTCAGTGTTTCAAATCATCTATCACCTATAAATGAAAATGATCTTCCTATATTATCACAACTAACATATTTCAACTTACTCATTGGTGCATCATGTGATATTTGGTCGATTTCTTTTATGTTACATTGTATGCCTAATCTTAAACATTTTTATTTTTATCTTCTTGTACAAACATCATCATGGCCATTTACTAATCCATATCTTGATGGATATGTATGGCAACAAATATTAGAAAATCTTTCATATTTATCAAAATTTGAATTTCATATGACTGTGACAAAAAGAAAACCAAAATTAGATTTAGATTTTGTTATTAATTCATTTAATTATTTTGTTAAAAAATATTCTAATTGGAATATGATTATTGATAGTTGGTTATATGGTTCTCATCTTCAAGGTAAATAAAATTGTTCAAAATAATTAAATTAAGAATATGAAACTAAATTTTAATTAATATCGAATTTTTATTATATACATTTTTCTTCTTTTAGATGAACTTATCATATTACGAACAATGAATTATATTAAAGGCAAATTTGCTGCAAAAATAAATATTCCTTGTATTCATTTCAGAACATTTGAAACACGAACAACAGAAAAAACAATTGATGAACATTATTCATTTTATTCTGATATAACAAAATTAACAGTATATATACAAAATAAAAAATCAAATGTTACTTGGTCTTGTCCTTTATTTCAAAATGTTACTAATCTTCTTGTAGAAATGTCAATAATAAAATCATCATGGTGGAATAATTTATTTAATATAGGTAAAAATAAAAGATTATCTTTTAATTTGATTAAAATAATTCGTTTTATATTATATACAAATGTATACGATTTCATCTTTTTTTTTTTTTTGATTTAGCTAATTTTCGACAAACAACTAATGATAACAATGCACAAGAAAATCTTACTTATCTATCAAATTTTGTTGATTTAAAAAATATAACTACATTAGAATTTTCATCAGCATTTCATATTAATCGATGGAAACATGTTGAATTTATTTTAAAGTATGTTTTTTTATATTTTAGAAAAATAATATTATTTTCACATTTTTTATTTTAGATCATGTCCAAATGTGCTTATTCTTATTATTAATACTTCATTATTACGCTATTCAAAAATAATTGATAATTTATCTCTTATTCCAATTTTCAAACAAATTAAACTGATTAAATCAATTACTGAAGATATTTATTTTTCTTCAAGTTTTATATTAAAATTTGTGGAACGTTTTCCTTCACTTGTTCATATTGAACTACAAGTATTTTCATTTGATATTTGTTCATTTATTATTGAAGTATTTCTTACTAAATTAGAACAATTAGCTTATGTCAAAATTAATTATCATCAAGATACATTACTTGATGATTATTTTACACGTGAATATATTATTACGAAACGTCGTCAAGTATTTCCCATTAACATCATTAATCAACAAATGATTAATGTCAAAAATAATGGTGAAATTATTGAAATTTGGTTGTCATAATATGATTTTTTTTGTATAGATTTTTTTTATTAAAAAATAAAATTATTTTAAAACTCTAAATTACTTTAAATTAAAGTTTGATTTTAATGTATTTTGGATAATGTAATGCTTATAATATACTTCGTTTTCAGATGGTTGAACCTGAACAACATATTGCGCATGTCATTGAAGTAAAATAAAAACTTGAGAAAATTTTTCACAACATAAATTATGTGTTGAATAATTTATTTTTTTTTAGAATAATATAGAGGAAAATGCAAGGGACAATGTTACAAGTGAGCATGATGATGATCAATATAGAACACCACCAAGGTCAACATCATCATCATCATCAAGATCAAGAAAAAGAAAAATTGTATTTTTGGTTATCTTATTTAGTATGTTTGATATAATTTTTATTATGATCATTTTTCTAAATGTAACATTTTTTTAGTTATTGGTTTGCATAAATTTCTTGGTAAGATAAATTTTTTTTTTGTTCATTTTTATATAATAAGCGATTTAAAAATCTTTTAACAAATATCAAACCCTGTTAGACCAAATGAGAAACATCTAAACTAATCAAATGTTCTTTTGTTAGAAAGAGCTAAGTGTAAACTACAAATTTTGTAACAGACATATTTTTCTATAATGAATCTAAATTGGTGAAAAAGCTATAAACTAAACAGCTAAAAGAATCTCTTCTAACACTTTTTGCAATTTGACATCTATGTATTTCTAAATTATTT